ATTCGTCTGGTCACAAAAATGATGTTTGTTTCATAAGCTTAAAAATTGAGTTCTCTGCTCATTAATTACATCCTGCAACAGATGTAACAGTAAAAATCGGCCAAGTTCACCCAATGTTATATATAGAATATCCAACTTTTACTGTTTTCCTTTTAAGAGAAGGTTGCTAGGTATAAAAGACGTTGCTACAGCAACGAGCAACATGAGCTTTCGTACGGGGTACATAAAGTTTGTGTGGAAATATATAGTACCCCGAAGGATTTAAAGTAGACCCGCCTTTTATTACACTGATCGGAGGGCAGAAAATAATTCTGAATCTATTCTAGAAATTATCTACTAAATCGATCTAAGCTTGTTGCTTGGCTGTGCGGCCGTCTATCGATTCGCATTCCTTTGTTCACGCCACAGGTCGTAACTTTTGAGATATTTTGACGAAATTGGTTGGTGTTGGTCCAAGGACGAAAGCTATTTAAAACGGTTGGAACAGAGCTTTTTCAACCACTTCCCTTATAATGCATTATTTTAAAAAATCTTTATATGAATAACTGTATTAAGCGAAGTGGCGTAGAATATTTAAAGTGGACCGTAGCCTTTATTTGTTTTGTTCGTCGTTTTTGCGGCGAAACGAATTACTATTATTTGTACTGCAGATCTTCTTAGATATCGGGATTGAAAAGTTAATGGCAACCCCTTAGGCTTTTAGTCGCGACTCTGTTGTTGACGTTAATCAACAAGATATTCTCCTTGCGACCACGCGTGCCGTATATGTATTAGTTTATATTAGACAAACTGGTTAGAGGGAATTAGAGATAAGACCTGTCGAAAGGGTGACGTTGGCTCACCGGGAAAGTAAGCGCCGGCGTTTTTAAAAATAAATTGGCGTAGCTATTCTCCAAAAACACTTTTTTTTCAAACGATATTTTGCCGGCCGCACTGCCGCATAGATTTAAAATTTCACTTTTCAACACAAGCAAGACAATATTTCGTCATTACCTTTAGTTTGTGTAATAGAGTAGTTCTTCGCAAAAATGGTATCAATTGAATGTAAAATGGCAATGGATTTTGTAACCGATTATTTCCATCTCATCACAATTTATAAACTATGCTCGCAGATAGGGCAGACTGCTAAAGATGATATGTATATAAAACCAGTTTACGTAAACTTTTTTGCTTTTCAGCGTTACAGGAAAGTATTCCACATATAGACATTTGCCACATTTGCCATACTTTCTACCTCTATTACAAATAAAAGCAGAAGCTCATTGTGGGCTTTTAATAGGTCGGATAGTGTACTACCAAGTCTTTATTAAAAAAAAAAAAAAACGAAAAACCCAAAATAAGAGGGTTTTTACAATTTTTTTCTCTAGATTTAGGATTTCGATTAGCAATTTTTTTGACAAATTTTACATTTTTTTTTGTGCGATTGTTGTTTCACATAAGAAGCCTTCAACGCTGCAATTTTCAGGGTTTTTGATCATCAATAATTAGTTTCGTTTCCGTTAGCCGGCCAGGCACAACCAGCGGCGATAGAAAATGCTCGTCCACTATTAAAAGCCACCTGGCGAAAGAAAAACCATAAAACATTTGATTTAGTAGAGATGCGACTACAACTACTTACAGAAACAAGTGGAATTGGTGTATTGAAGTGGGGCGAAAGGCAAGAGACTATGTCGCAAAATTTAGAATTCAAAGTATGCCTTTTTTTCTCTTCTCATAATTTTTGAAAATGTTTTGTAAAAAATATAGTTCTGATATGCATAATTTCCTTTAAAAAGCTTTAGTCGTTTCTCTAGGAAGATTTAGAGACTTGTTTTTTAAAAAGCCGGACATTATCCCACGAATTTTGCTGCTTATTGTAGAACCGGGGACAATGGTCGTAGATATATCAATATACTAAGTTTGGGCACTGGAGCATTTAACATGTCGTGGGCGGAGTGTCATAGCAGTGAGCTTCACACGGGCAAGGCCATATGCATGGGCCGTCTTTGTGCTTCAAATAACGCGACGGACAGGGGCAAGGAGGGCCTTCGAATTAAGATAAGACAAAATTTCATAAGCGTTGGGTCTAAACAATCAATAAGTATAGTTAGAAAACTAAGGAGTAGGAGAATCACTTAGTTTTGCACCTAATCAAGGGAGATCCGTATAACTCTACAATTCGTTCCCTATTTGATGACTACATTACAACTACTCTTTCTCCTCATCCTTGCGTGCTTCGACCGTCTGCAAATATATGGAAGGAACTGTCAGTAAGTTGGTTTGCATTCAGGAAAGATTTTTGTGTAAAATATTTACGGTGGGCAAAGACTCCAGAGATTTTTCGGCTTCAAGTGAAGAAACGCTGCAAGGCTGCAAACATAAGGGTGTATCTTTAATTTGGGCGTTATTTGGCATGCAACAACGGGCCTTCCCTGCGATTCCTTGCAGATATTGTGGAAGTACCACATTTATGCGGCAACAACTTTCCGCTGGTGTAGGAATTTCAGAGTCGCAGCTTATACATATGAATCCTTCTGGGCATCCACACCTATTATTTGGATACGTGTTCGAGTCCGAAGCTTTGTTATCATACATATTTGATTCTATAATATGTTCGCTGTATATATTAGAGCCTGAAAGTTTTTCGCGATACATAGTAGAGTCTGGAACTTGTTCGTGATATATAGCAGAGCCTGGAACTTGTTCTTGATACATTGTAGAGTCTGGAAATTGTTCGTGATACATAGTAAAGTCTTGAAGTTCTCCGCCTAATTTTGCTTTAGTTTGCGCAATGGTAACGTCAGTTGATGCTATTGTGGGCTCAGTCTCAAAAGTGCCACGCCGAAAATTGCACTCTAATGTCATGCATTTATCATTGCTTTGCGTACAGCCCATATTCTGATATACAGAATTGCAAGACGACGGTGTTTGGAAGCCGCTGTAACAAGGATCCACACAAGGCATTCGATAGTTGGCAAAGCATGGATCATAGCAAGGCTGTTGCAAGCAAGGCTGTTGCAAGCAATAATGGTAGCCATTGCACGGGTCAAGCATTCCAGCTTTGTCTCCCGTACCGTAGGAACGAATTGAAGTTGGCTGCATGAAACAAGGATTTTTTTGAGAATAATCTATATCTTGAAAATCGAAATTTTGTATGTTATCCATATTGTCACAGCACGGTTCCGACCAAGGATCTTGCAAAAGAAAGTTGGCGCATGCGCTGAATATTGGACGTCTTTTATTTATTTTTCCGCCGTCGGCAAGTGGGATCAAAGCACGTTCATACTCTTTCACATCCTTATTATAATCGCAAAAATTTTTCTGCAAGCCGTTACGTCTTTCTTGAAGGAATTGGGAAAAGTTCGGACATTCTGTGGGACCACAATTGCAATTCATTAGAAATATGTAGTTACACTTCTGTGGAGGAAAGCAGTTGTCGGAAGACGTCGTTTGGCAACCATTGAGGCAACTTGGTTGTTGGAGACCATCGTCACAGAGACACGAGAATGGATCTGTTAACGGCGGATAATTGGTGCAGGGGTTTACTGGAGAAAATATTGGTCGCTTTGGTTCTTCATTCGAAAATGGCATCAAAGCGCGCCTATAATCTTCGTCTTCATTAGCGCTGCAGCAAATGGTCTCTTGCAAACCGTTTAATTTATGTGCCATGGGAAACACAGCCATTCCCGTAAATGGGTGGGCTAGAATTTCATGAAAGCAGGCGAGTACAGTGCAAAATAAGCGAAGGGTAAGTCACAAGCGATATTGATTAGAATTGTGGAACCATACGGATCATGTAACAAGTAGAGGTGCAAAAGCAACTTATAGAAAATGGTAACTTAGATTGTTGGGATAGTTGTTGTACTAACGAGGGACATAGCCTCATCCGATAAATCTAGCGTTGAAAAAAACGCAGACTTACGACGGCTATTAAGCCGAATTTTTTTTCATCTATAAAAAATCTACTTTGGGCAATTGATAGTGGTTACTGAAAAGCAAAAATGTAATGAAAATGGCCACTTACAGGGATAAACTTGCGGCGTATTGCAGCTATTCCATACTCGTGGATCTGGTATGCCACCTTCAGGTAAGGGTGGGCAACATCTTGGTGTTGGTGAGCATGGTATTGGTGATGGGGCTCCACATTGCGGATTGGATAATCCACAGTAAGCTGGATCGCTGCATGGGTTGCATGTGCAACCACAGCCGTTGCTGCTACAACAATTGCCGTTACTGCAACAACTGCCGTTACCATTACCATTGCCATTGCCTCCTCCTGCACGACGATTATTTTTATTTTTCTTCTTAATCACACCCATAGTCATATTGGCATAGCGTAGAGGGAACGAACTAGGGCAACAATTAGGTGTTGGGAAACACATACAAGCTGAACGACCTTGGCACAGCGAACGTGGGCATTTATCTTGCAGACCGTTACGTTTAATACAATCGCATGTCGTATACATAATGCCACAACGCAATTCGCGACTACGACAGGCTTTAGGCTGTAAAAACAGAAGAAAACTATTAGTTTTCGATGAAAAAGTCGTATCGAACGATTGGTGTCGGGCCATGGCTGGCGCTTCGGTATGCCAAGGTGGATAGTCTCAAGGTGGAATCCACCTTGATAAGGGGCGCTAATCAAGGTAAATTCGCGCTTGAAACTCACCTTAATAATACCTATGCCAGCCAGAGGCTTGAAACCATCGTTCAGTGCAACAGTAACGCTATTTTTATGAAGATGGCCCACAACAACTGCGCGGATATGGACCACAAGGAGTACAAGGCACTTGAGGACCGCAAGGTGAGCAAGGTCCACAGTGGGTATTCCAGGGCTTTGGAGAGCAGGGGTAACGTGGTCCGCATTCGGGTGCCTCGTAGGGGCAACCCGGGAAGCAAGGCCTACAAGGTCCACAAGGTCCCCAAGGTCCACCAGGACCACAAGGTCCGCAAGGGCCACAAGGTCCGCAGGGACCACAAGGGCCACAAGGTCCGCAGGGTTCACATAACGGGTATTGGCTTGTTGAAAAGTATGGCAGTGGTCCACACGGTCCACAGGGCGAAGATGGACCCTGGACACATCGGGCAAGGTAAGCAAGCGGCGCTTGGCTTATAATTTATCGGCCCAGTTGGATAGCAGCAATATTCCCTTGGCGGCGGTATATCGATAGTTTGGGGCTTCGGTTGACATAATATAGATTGACAAACTTCTCTTGGTTCACATATACGCTTAGGGTAGCAAACTACGTATGGATCAGGTACCATAGATGGATAGTAGATAACTCTAGGTTCTCGAACCATTTGGGAGACCCAAGTCAATTTTGGTACTTTTATAACCCTCGTAGTATCAACAACTTTGGGTATTGTTACTTGACGGCAACGGTTAACTACCATTGGCTCAGGTACAACTTTCTCCGTAAACACTACACGTTTCTTGCATATTAATCTTGGCGGTTGCTGGACTGTTAAACATTTCGGGTGTGGAGGCGCAATTCGTGGCGCACATTGAGGTACAGCATCCAGTTGAGCGCCTGTGTAACATTTCGGCGAGCACTACACTCGCATTCGTATTCATATTGCGTCAATTATGGCGATCGATTTCGAGTTTTGGATGATAGATGACCGGAGTTTGGGTGGAAAAGATCAGAAAACGTAAAAGATTTTGCATTTGCTAGCAGTTCTTTCTTTAAATTTATTTGATGCTTACAGACTAAAATTTTTCTCATGGAAATTTTTAAAATTTCCACAATTTGATATAACTTACCTCAAAAGGTGCACAGCATGGATCACAGGGACTGCAAGGTCCGCAAGGGGAACAAGGTCCACAAGGTCCACAAGGTCCGCATGGTGAGCAGCACGGTGCGCAGCAAGGATCACACATTTTGAGACTTATTAATTTAGATTCTAGAAGAGCAGAAGAAAAAATGTTTACAATTCGTATTCATAGCCATTGAAAAAATTTTCGCCAAAACTAACTTTTTAAAACTTTTTAAGGAAAATATAAAAATTTAATTTTTTTTTTTTAACTAAAAATTTAGACGCAGCTTAAAGGCTCGGAAATTTAGACTGGAATGAATAAATATGGAAAAATAGTTTGTCAGGTATTTAGAAATTTTTCAATGGTAAATTGAAAATTTGCTTCTCATTTTAAACAAGTGTAATTTCAGCAAGTAGTTGAACGAAAATTTTTCACATACCAGAGAGGTTGGAAATAGAAAGCATCAGATGTAAGGAGTAAATACTTCTCCATCGTGTTTTTAGTACTGAAAGAGGAAGAGAGTCTTAAGTAGATTTTTCATGATTCTTCATAGAAAAGAAGAATTTTAACACGTTGATTTTAATGTTAAACAGTCTAACACTCACATATACATATACATATACATATACATACTGTTTATATGAACCTATATATTCTTCTCTAAACTACAAGAAATAATCTTACATAAACTGTAATACCATGAAGTAATTCCACGCTATTTTCATTCTGGGTGTAAATATAAAACAGGAAGTGGTGTAATCCCTAGAGTCCCTACGAGTAAAAGAAGACCTTTGCAGCTTGTTTAAGAATTTTACGGTCATTTTCGACAAAGCAGGAGTCGCTTGGACTTCTAATTGTCACTTCCAGTGGAGCGAGCTGATTTTCTCTTGCGGAAATCATAAGTTGAATGATTAATTTCTAAAAATTTGTTACGAAAACTTGAAATCTTTGCCTGCCCACAATAATTGTTGGAACACTCTGTGGGTAGAATAGTGCGAAAATTTAATCCATTAAATAATTCGAAAGACTT